GCGTCAGTTAATAAAGCGTTCTTTGTTAGCGCACATTTGGTATAGCCTTTTGTTGACACACATTAGTGTAGCACCCGCAATATACAATGGTAAACAACGAGTAGATATACAATTCTATGCAGTGATAGCACCTATATACAGAAAAGAATTTGAATGGTTTTCAAATCATTAATTTGATACTTAATAATAATGACAGTATATCACTTGACTTAATAATAGTATATCACAACATATTCACTTATGAATTTTTATATTTTTTTTATAACGGAACTTTTTTGCGTTTATTTGCTACCCTTGATGTAGATCTGTCGCCTTAGATGAACAGGGATATCGGATGCAAATGCCGTTTTCTTCATTGAAACCTACCGTGGCCCTTTGACCCTTATGCTAAAAAAGATTGCGAATGGAAATGGTGTGACAGGGCATTGATTATTTGGAAGGACTCAAAGAGTTTCATATAGAGTTGTCGCGCTGATTCTCATGTAATGATCATTTTGAGAAACTTGGAGGACATTTTAAACGTTGCAAGATCCACCTCAGTCCTTTTCTGCTTACTGTGTCAAATGCCTTGGTGAAGTCAGTGAATGTCACATAGAGTCCTTTATTCTGTTCTCTACATTTCTCTTGCAGTTATCTAAAAATAGTAGTTCTGTGATAGCAGGTATTAATCTGTTCAAAAGCATTCTTGCAGGGATTTGTCCAGCAACATTTTTTACGTGATGTGCTGAATTCCTGAGCCTTGGATTACAGAATTGGCATTAAAGAAAATTTGGAAAAAATTTTCAGATTATCGATTCAGGATGGAGATTGTATCTGTGACAAACGTTTCATCATTTGCGCTGAGTAGGGGGACTTTGAACCTAGTGCGTGGGTTTATACATTGGTTTCAGAGAATCCTCTGTGATCACCCGAATCTGCGCATAACTGAATCTCAAATCTCCCCTGCCAGGTTGATTCACCATTTGTTCTCGGCATCTCGAAATTTCCATTGGAACTTACTGCCTGCGGGACGGATGGCTGCTTTTCTTATATGGCAAGATGGCTAAGCAATGTATGCTTCTGAGCAGTTCTCTTCTTTGTCAGTAGTTTCTGAATCTCTTGACTGTTTCCACCAAACCAGTCTTTGTTTTTCTTGGATGAGAACCCTGAGGATTCTTCAGAGGACTGCAGGATACTATTTGTAATACGTTGACAAAGCGTTTCAGGTGAGGGAACAATAGGATGATCTTCTTGAAAGTTTACCGGAAAGCCGTCTTTCAGTAGCTTTTTGTTGACTTTCAGTCTCTTCCTTGGAATGCCACTCCTCTTAGAATTGGGCTTTAAGTAAAGGTTAAGCTTACATTGCACAAGGTGATGGTATATTTGACATTCTGCACCACGCATTACTCGAGTATGAGGAAATCGCGTACACTTCTCTGGCGCACTAAGACGCAATCAATGAGGTGCGAGAAACAATGCGATCAGAATGATCTGTCGACAAATTTTCAAGTTTTGAGGCGCTAAAGTTTTAATTATGAGACGAATCCTTGGAAGGTGACTTTCGGTTTTGAGTTTACTTGACAATAGATTGTAGCTGACACCATATTCTTTAAGGCTGCCTTTTTCATGAAGACGTACTTCACTGAGAGCAGCAGTGTTGCTGTTAAGTCGTAACACTTTATAGTGAATTAAAGCAGAATGACACTCAGGACATCCACTATCCACAGTATCATATATGGTTTGGATGTTCTAGTATGC